TTGTTCAAAACAGGGGCTATTGTGCAAGACGATTGGACAGTGATTAGTGTTAGTTTTTATAGCACATTTGATGCATTGAATTAATTTTAGAAAAGATATAGAAAAATATTCAAGTGATAAGGTAGTCAAGTCATTGAAAATCTATTCTTCAATTTGGAGGGCCTAAAGTAAAATAAATTAATTACTATAGAAAATTAACTCGTAAACATTTGTTTTTCAAAACAGGGGCTATTGTGCAAGACGATTGGACAGTGATTAGTGTTAGTTTTTATAGCACATTTGATGCATTGAATTAAATTTTATTTAGAAAAGATATAGAAAAATATTCAAGTCATAAGGTAGGGTTCCATCACTTGGAAGCTAGATAGGCTCTACATGTCATGGGTCAGAATCCAATCCTTGTAACCAGATACAACTAGGTACCAGATTATTCTACTCAAAATAGTGGGGGGAATATCTCCTGTGCGCCTCATCCACCATATGGCAGAGTCAGGGTACCAGTGACAGTCAGAGTGGGAGGGACCTAATAGGGAGCTTCAAACCTCAGGCCTTTTGTCTCAATTTCCTTCCCTTAGATGTCTTAGACAATCATGGGGGAGTCCACTGAGAGGCACTGAGGCAAAGCCTCCCTGCTAGATATTCACCATTCATAACAAACCTGTCTGATCCAGTAGCAGGTGGCATTCCTGCTGCTGGAGTCAGGCCAATCCAGGGCGGGCGGGTGGGAGAAAAAACTTCCTGTCATCTTCATGGGATAGTCCACTCAGGTTGATCACTACCAGAGTTGACAACTCATGTTGATGCAGGTTGTTGAGCAGCAGCATGCCTGGGGAACCCCCCGTCCGAGTTTCCACGCCCCGCAGCGTGGAAACTTGAACCCTGATGGGTTCTCGCAACTATAACCCTAATCATGGTTGCCGAGAGGACCATCTCATTTGCAAAATTATTTCCCGCGCTCCTCACCTACAACTCAAGTACATCTCTACATCTCGCAGGTCAACACCTGCGTTCCGGAAATGGATACCCCACATGATGATGCACCGCATCAGCTCCTCAATGTCTCTCGAACAAAATTACCCTTAAGGCAACGACGCCCGTCCAAGACCACATTTGGCAAGATCGACAGCGGCAACCATGAATCACTAAAGCCAGCGACCTAGCCAAGACCAGCCATTGAACTGCCAATCGCAAGAAGGTTGTCTCTCTCTCAGCTCACAATTCTTCATTCAGCCGACGCCGAAGGCAAGAACCTAGATTAGATTAATCTCTTGCGCCGGCATCAGGTTTCGTATCTTTTCGACCCTCACCATGGCCAGCTCTAATTTTTCGTATCTCGTCTCTCGTGCAGCGGCATAGGAGGTGCATGCTCCAAACTACACTGATATCCTCACTTCTGTGGGCGGCGCCTCGAATGCAAATTGTGATGTTGCCTCTCGCGCTATGAGCCAATTTTGCCTTCGCCTGTCACCTTTGTTTTGTCCTCCAAAATGATGAAACGAATATCTACATTGGACACTCGCTCTATGCCTACCCCGTGAATCCGAGCCAGGCCTCTCCTTACGACAATCTCTACGCTATCCTGGTGGGGAACGATCTTCGAAGTGCTATCACGGTGGTCCTTCCCATGTCCGCGTTCCAGCGCACGACTGACGTAACCTGCCACAACATGACAATTATTGACGGAGGACCGATGTTTGCCGCCGCGCCGGCTCCTGTGCTGCACAGTGGCCCCCACGGCGGCGGTGTCGCAGATACTGATGTCTTCCGGGTCCGCCGTGTGATGCCCCTTCCGTCCTATCTCTCTGAAGCCGTCCTTGTGGCCCGTCCCGAAGGACAGTACAGTCTTCCCCAGTTCCGTGCGGAAGTCCTGACCCCTGAGTTGACTCACGCGGATCCTGCACGACAGGCTGCCATCGCCCCTTTGGTCCAATGGTTCCGCGCCTGTTGCACATTGGTCGCGGGAGGTCACACGTCCACTAGTAATGCTGCTGCTAACGTGGCCGCGCCCATTAGCGCAAACGCGCTCCAACGAAGCACAAACCGGGTACTTTCCCCCTACATGGCGGCGCTTGGCGCGGTAGTGCAGTAGGTCCGGGCCTGACCAACGCAACCTTCAACGCGGGAATCACGAACCTACGTGATACGCTGGAGGCCACTGTTCAACAACAACTCCAGTATGACCGTGAAAAGAGCAACAAAACCTTCACGGATAAATTCGGGGTCGGCTTAGCCACTCGCGTCCACAACCTCTGTAACGTGGCTGATGACGCAAACCTTCCCGTTATTCACCATCTGCTCGTGAAGCCCCCCAAGGGGAATGAACACGGAATCTTGCAAGCTCAACTAGACGAACACACTCAGGGTTCGGCACTGCCCTTTATCCGCAAGTTGGAATATGAATTGACTCGATTGACAAGATGTAACTTACTCCACTTCGACAATGACACCAGTTCTTGCTATGACCGTATTTCCTGTTTTCTGGCCAATGTTGCAAGTCGAAAATATGGTATGCACCGCAAGGTGTGTGTGGTACAAGGGAAGACGTTAGCAGAAGCTCGGTATCATTTGAAAACGCAGCTTGGTGTCTCAGAAGAATTCCTCCAACACAGTCAGGCTTACCCTTGGTTTGGCACAGGTCAAGGGAGTGGAAACTCACCCACATACTGGCTGTTTATTTGCAGTACCCTTTTCGATATCTACGAAAACAAAGCACAAGGGGCAACATACGTGAGCCCGACAAGCTTCTAACAACAACAATCAAGAAGTCGGCTTCGTAGACGACACCCGAACTCCACCAACCAGTTTGGACAAGACCCACAACCACCAATGGAAACTCTGATAGCACAGGCACAAGCTGAATAGCAGCTCTGGAACAACCTCCTTCTCACCTGCAATCAAAATTAGAACTTACCAAGTGTGGCTTTCATGCCATGGAATTCATCTTTGAAAATGACGGCAAACGATTCTTGTTGACAAACCTGATCTACCAGACTCCAACTCCACGAAATGAGCTGACTCCGACGATGAAGGCACCACAATCAAGCAATGGGCCAACACAAAGCCAAAGGTATCTGGATGCTACGAATGTCCGGCTGACAAAAAGACCCAGTTTAGATATCACTGCCAAAAAGTGCAAGGAATTTTGCCGCATTGTCAAAACCAGCCACCTTTCTCCGAAGAGAAGCTCACCTGCTATATTGGACAATCTACCGGTCCCAGTGTCTCCTATCCCCATCCAATGGCCTATTTTACCTTCGATGAACTAGACAAGCCCAAAGAAAAGTCGAACGGGCCTTCAGTCAAAATGGGTTTTAACCCAAACACCCCAAAAGCAATTCGGCATGGGCCAAAATACATTGGCGGTGCCAGTCTCTTTCATTTTTATGACGATCAGCGGTACGGCCAATGCCAGCCAATTCATCAAAAGCTGGCGCTCCACAAACAGTCCTCAGGGAAACTCCTTCACATCACCGTTGCATGGTTTCAGTTCTGTGCAGGTTGAGTTGGTTTGTTCTGGGAAACCCCCCAGTATTCCATTGACTCATCACTCGAATCCAAGTGGCTTCAATCCCTTCAAGAGTTTTTGGGATCCATTGACGAAATCTAGAACTTAAGAAACCCTACGTTCCTAAGGCACAAAGAAACAATGATAAAGCAATCATGTCAGTAGTGTACAAGCTACCCACACCAGCGGCAAGAACACAGGCAAAGCTTATTTTGAGCCATTCGAAATTCGTCGCATCAATTACGTCGCATGTACCTCAATGTGTTTTTTCTCTCGGATATTTGTAATGCGCCGGTGACACCATTGACCCTGCCATGTTACTCTGGAGATTTCGACAAAACTTCAGCACCTGCAACCACTTACGATAAAGCAAGCCAAACCAAACAGACAGCCTGGAAAGCATGGAGGCGGGCAATGGGTTACTTCTGTTACACATCTCCAGGAAGAAGAAATATTCAAAACCGAACACCACCCTACCACCTGGCTACTCCCCGCAACGCAACTCCGACGACGATGGCCTGCCTTGTACGACCCTGGATCCGACACGGAAATCTCCGATCACATGTATTGTCACACTCCCGAGGGATGGACCATGCATCAGAGCATCCGATACGATTTCGACCAGACACCTTCTGGCATTGTCAACACTCCACCTGAAACTGCGGCCCCGTGTGATTACAAAGTGAGACCCTATACACTTCAAATGACGGGGTATGAGAATGTCATACAGCAACAGCAGCCAGAAACACACACATCAATCAACACACTCATTCCTACTTTGGACGCCTGGGAACAGCATCTACTCCGGGACTTACACTTTCTGGTTCCCGAAACTGAGGTTTGGACAGCTCTTGCTACGAAAGCTTGCATTCTGGCCTGTGATGGGTCAGCTCCCGATGGTAAGGGATCTTTTGGGTGGATCCTCAGTGACCCCCAAGGTACCCGCTTGGCTCAGTGCAACGGTCCGGCATTTGGTTACCAACTGAACTCATACCGAGCCGAAGGATACGGGATGTTGTCCGGTTTTCGATTCCTCCACCACATGACCACGATTCACTCAACAGACATACCAATCCACAGGCATGGCTGCTTCTGTGATAACAAATCAATGGTTGAGGTCACAGTGAAATACTCCAAATTCAACAGGATCTTTCCAAACAGTACCTTATCCGCTGAGTGGGACATTATCGCCGAAATTCGACAAACTCTACAACAAATCCAACCGGCCACTTCCATCCCTAAAATCAAACACATCAAAGGCCATCAGGACGATGAGAAACCATATGATGAATTAACGCTGGAAGCCCAACTCAATGTCGACGCCGACGGCCTAGCCAACCAATGGTTGGTGGACCACCCAAACTTCGACCACACACAAGTCCCAATTCTTCCAACGAGTGGGTGTCAGCTCAATCTTCCAGGTGGAACCATCACACACAATCTGAAACACGAACTCAAACTGGCAGGATCGGTGCCTCAACACAAACAGTTTCTCATGAATAAACATGAGTGGGACAGCAACACATTTGAAGATATCGACTGGAAATGCCATGGGAGGGCACTCAATCGCTTGGATCACCATCGCACCTCCCTCACCAAGTACCTTTGCAATTGGCACCCCGTCGGTAAACGTGTCAACAAATACCACCCCAAATATCCCATTGCATGCGCATCCTGTGGTGCCCCAGAAGAAAACAGAGAACACGTCCTGAGATGCCCCAAGCGACAATCAGAACGAACGGCATGGAAGAAGGCACTCAAGCAATACACCGACAAGCACAACACTCACCCAATGCTACAAACACTTCTTCTCTCAGCACTCCAAAAAGTACTCGATGGAGAAGATACCACAGGAATTGAATACGATGACAGTGTTGCCGATATCGCAAACGCCCAAGCAGCCATCGGTTGGGATCAGCTCCTCAAGGGACGACTATCCAAACAGTGGGCGCAACGCCAGGATCAACACCTTAAGGAATGCAATCTCAAAACACATCGGAAAAATGGCCAAACCTGGCTCACAGGGATTATTCAAGAATTGCTCAACCAGTGGTTCGAACTCTGGGAGGCCAGGAATCATGATCGGCATGGCAAAGACGCACAAACCAAGGCACAGGCAGCCAACCAACAGGTTATCCATGAACTTCAGCTGCTATATGACAAATACACCGGAAACCTCAGAACGGAACAGGCATGGCTTCTCCAAACACCAATCAACACAAGATCCCAATGGCCCACGGCATCAATCCGACAATGGATCAACACTTGGGAACCAGTCCTTGAAGAGAGTTACGCCACACAGCTTGAGACTGGGTAATTGATGCAGGACCTCCACTTCCCATCCTTCCAATTCCCCCCTGCGTCCGCTTCCGTCCCTCCTTTTCTCCCTCCATCCAACCCACCAAGTAACTCTCCCTGAATCCATTCGGCCAAACCCAAAAATCAGTTAGGAATATATGTCCGGCAAATCCACACGAGATATGCCATTTATACTTACATGTAACTTTAAATGCACCATCTCCCCTAGGGAGTGTGGTGCCGGTGAGGGAACCAGTGGTGGTCTCCTGTGAAACCAATCCCCGCTTCGGCCGGGAGCGGTTACCCAAAGCTTCGGCTGCAGCACAGTGATGATCCGTCCATTGGGGCCATATCCGTTATAAAGATTTTTTTTTCTTTTCAGGGTTCGGCACTGCCCATCAACCTCGCGAACAAACCCTTGGTCACTGGACACATTCTGGATCGTGTCTTCCGCAAGTACTTCGTGAACGGTCAAGGGACCACCTTGGGCGAAGGCCTCTCCCCCTTCTCAGTGGTGTGCCAAGGCCATTCGGAAGCGAAGGCGGTCCAGGACTTGGCTGCTCGAGCGGAGTACGTCGAGAAGGGAGCCTCTGTCACCTTGGAAGATGCCATTGCCATCACTTCCACGGACGTCAAGTTTCCCACCGATGGTCGCATTGCGGAGGAAAAGCTCTATGGCTTCTCCATCATGATAGACGTCTTCCATGGAGGAAACCATCCGGTCTCACGCTCGGTGCGTGATGTGGCCCTCTCGCTGGGATCCTACTTCCACACCATCCATGGCCTGCATGCTGACAACCGGAGTGTGGCGGTGGACTTGTGCGGTCGCATCCTTTTCGAGGTCCAACAAGATTACTTCCTGTGGGTCAACGAAGCTATCCTAAACCCGGGCGCTGCTGCCCCCAACTTTGGTGTGCTGACTAGACTCGTTCAGTCCTCCCGTGCCTTGTCTCTCGCTGAGCTCCCTGCTCACTGGTACTCGTTCTTCAAGCCCGCTCCCGAACCGCCGAGCAAGAAGCCTGCCGGAGTGAACCAACAGCGAGCGGGAGCACACCCAGTCACCAACGTCCACGGCGATGAGGACCTCTTGAAGCGTTTCCAGGACTCGGGATTCCGCTCCATCACGGAAATGACCAAGGACCATCAGTACACCATTCCCAAGCACGGTGGTCAGGACGTCTGTATGGCCTGGGCCCTCAAAGGCAGCTGCACCTCCGGATGCAAGCGCGCTGCCACCCACAAGCGCTACTCGGCAGCTACGGTGCAGAAGCTCCACACTCTCCTCACGGACTGTGGAGTTGCTGACCCGCAGCTCTGAGTCTCCACGCCTGGACTCGCCACCCGTATTGGACTCGCCCGCTCCTATCTCGGTGGCGTCCATGCCTTGCAAGCAGTTTGGTCTCCGCCCCTTTGATCGCGATGTCTCTCCTGTGAAACCTCCAAGGACTAACAGGAGCACTCCTGCTCGCAAAACACCTTCACACGAAATTTCTACCACTTCAATTCACGCCCTCTCACACGCAGCCTCGCTGTCAATGTCTCCATCATCAAAGCGGTCGGCTGGCCTACTGCCCGGATCACCTAAGAAACGCCGACCGCCTTCATCCTCTACATCAAACACCACTAAAACTACTAGCCCTGCCGTTGATACCAGATCAATCCGAAATGACAGACTAGGTACGTTAGTCCAAAACCTTTGCTCAGCCTACTCGAAGGCAGAGACGTGGGAGTCCTTTGTCACCGGCTTCAGAGGGCGCTCCTACCTTGCTCCGAACCTGGAGGATGTCGACCATCCTGCCATCCCCTTGCTCTGCCACTGGAGAGACCATGGGGTCCCCGTACAAAACGAATCACCTCCCTGGACGACGGAACAGAAGGAGGAATGCATCCGCCGCGGCTGCCACAAATCTGCTACCGAGCATTCCGACTTCCTCCGCGAGAAATTTTCCGAGTTCATCGAGAACAAGTTCTGGGCTGTCCTTCCATTCGACCTCGTCAAGGATGAACCCTCCCTCCTTCTATCAGCCGCTGCGGTAAAGGTGGAACGAGACCGAAAACCCCGACTCATCAGCGACCACACCTGGAACTGGGGCTGGCCCTCCGTAAATGAAACCACATCACATCACGCACCGCCCGAGGCCATGCAATTTGGAAATGCCCTGCCACGCATCCTGTACGATGTGCGTCACGCAAACCCCAAGTTTGGACCCGTCCTCCTCTGCAAGCATGACATCAAGGACGGCTTCTACCGCATGTTCCTGAACCCATCCGACTGTATCCGACTCGCGCTGGTGCTGCCTCGCTATGAAGGTGAGCCCCAACTGGTGGCCGTCCCAATGCCATGCACCATGGGATGGGTCGAGTCGCCGCCTACCTTCAGTGGCATGTTGGAGACTACCTGCGACCGAGCAAATGAACGCTTCCTGAAGTCCCCCAGAGCCTGTCCTCCGCACAGACTTGAGCATCACGCCGAGGGAATGGATGACCTGGACCCGTCCACCACTCCAAGACCGCGAGAAAAGGAGGACCATGCGGCAACACAAGAACTCCTTGGGATAGCCACCTCCCCCTTGGAGGCCGAGCCGGACCACTTCGCGGGACCCTCGAACAGACCTCTGCTCCAGCCCATCGGGCGGAATGATGTGTTCGTTGACGACTTCATCCAACTAGGCCAAGGAGGAAAGACCCGTATGACAGCGCTACGCAGGCACTTACTCCATGCCATCGACGAGATCCTCGCGCGCCCCAACCTCAGCGAGAAACACCGAAATGAGGCAGTCTCGCTCAAGAAACTCATGCAAGGTGATGGAAGCTGGGCTACTCGAAAACTCATCCTGGGATGGATCATCGACACCCTACGACAGACTCTGGATCTCCCTCCCCACCGGAAGCAAGCGCTCGCTGACATCTTCAAGGAACTAGCCGGGTGTTGCAGAGTCAGCCACAAGCGTTGGATGGAAATCCTCGGCAAGCTGCGGTTCGTCTCTGTTGCCATCCGGGATTCCGCTGGACTCTTCAGCGCGCTCCAGCTCGCCCTCACGAAGTCCGAAGGAGGAAGAATCCGGATCAATACCGCATTGAGATCCCACATCGATGCCTTTGCTGATCTGGCTACCAGCCTCTGCCACTGCCCAACTCACCTGGCTGAGATCGTCCCCCAGGACCCATCCTTCTTTGGCGCCACTGACGCCGCCAAGGCTGGAATGGGCGGTGTCTACTTTGACTCCAAGGAAACTCCCTACCTCTGGAGGTTCCCGTTCCCTCCCGATGTGCAGGCTCAGCTCGTGTCCACGGACAACCCGAAGGGAACCGTCACCAACAGTGACCTCGAGCAAACAGCCATCCTCGCGCAGCACTCCTTGCAAGCGGCGCGGCACTGCATCACCTACGCCACCCTCTACACTCTCTCGGACAACACCCCGGCCGTCTCCCGAGTCTCCAAAGGGGCGGTCACCTCCGATGGTCCTGCGGCGTTCCTGTGCAACTATGCCTGCCGCCACCAGTGGGAGCACCGCTACTGCGCCCTCTCGTCCTACATCCCGGGTCCTGCCAACGTGATGGCTGATGATGCGTCGCGTCTGCAACAACTCACCCTGCCTGAACTTCTCGCCCACTTTGAACAGCGCTATCCGCAGAACAAACCCTGGCAGGTGTTGACTCTGCCACCCGAGGTCAGTTCACTGTTGATCTCCACCTTGCGCTGCAGACCGCTTCCAAGAACATTGTCTCCAAGACGGCCGCCGCCCGTGACCGGACCTTCGGACGATGGTGTGACTTCTGCGCAGGCCTCGGCGTCAACCCATCCCTCTGTGATATCCCTGACCAAGAGGTCCAAGCCTGCTACCTCCTCGCGATAACTTTTAGGAGCGAGAGCTCTGGATCCCGTCAGAGATAGCTCCAACAGCTATGCTGGCCTACGGCTCCAGCACCCGCAGCTGGCTTATCTCCAGCCAAAGCAGCAAGAAAGGATCGTCCTTTCTACCATAGTTAAGAAAATAGTACGAAAGATTGAGACCGATCCTGATTAGCTTGTAGCCCCATTGATACCGCAGCAGTTGATACCCATCCTGTTGAGGCCGGGCAGAAGCAGTAGGAGGTAGCAGATAGTACTGTTCCCAGACTGCCACTGCACGATTGAATAACGAAGGCCCCCAGCTCCTGAGGAGAGCTGGCCCAAAAGGGCCCAGCAGAGAGCTCTGCTGGCCCTCCTGTCTGACTGACAGGACCAAGTCCTTGGTTTGGTGCCTACTGGAGGTGTTGGAACACTCCTGAGGCACGACAAGGCTCCCTGAACTGCCTGACTACTGCTGTACCTGAGGAAGGGTTTCAGCGAGACCCAGTCCACTACTTGAGTATTGGAACTGAACCTTGAAGAAACTTATTGGATTAACAGTCAGCATAGATTTGCAGGCAGTTCTTAAGGGAAGAAGAGACCTCCTTGACGAGAAAAGGATCTCTTCGAAATACAACAATCAGTGCTGCAGCTACAGTTGGATTCATTCAATTTCATTGGCATTTTGAGGTGGTTTCAAGACCCATTTTGAAGCCATTAGTCAACAACCTTCTGTTCGATTTTGATAGTTCCAGCCATCACCACAGTGACAGGAACCTTTGACTTGGCCATCTTCCAATCTACAACCCCAACAAAGCCCATTGCCATCACGAAAGGACCTATATTCCGACAACATCTTGCTTCGACGCCATTGAGGTAGTTTCCCCGTTGAGCTAGTGGCTCCTGTTGACCACTTCACGGGAAAAGCAACCAATTCACTCGAAAGAAGAAGTACTGGTCCCGGTACCGAGTGAACGCGAGACTTATTGGCTTGCACCTATTCTGGCAATCGATCAAGGCGTTTACGTCCAGCCAAGCAACCATTGTTTATTACGGCAATCAACCGATATCTCTTTCTATACAGGCTTATCGCTTGTCAATCCTGCAGCGAATTACGTGATTTATAAGCCATTTCTGAGGCTTATATCTTTGGTGATTCCACGGAACGTGCATCAGTCGTCCGTGCA